GAGACATAGGTTTCGAACTATTTTCTCGTGGGGATTCGGAAAGAGAACTTTCAGTTGGTGGGGATCTGGAACGGGGTCATAGTTCCGTGGAGATCTGATGCTATGTCATAGTTCTCGTGGGGAAATAGGTCGTTTTCCCTCTATTAACTATTAAGAAATATTTTTAATAACTAATAATCTATCATGCAAGTAAAAACACACATATTAAGAAATATTGAGGTTTATATCGTCAATATTAACTAATAATCTATCATGCAATAAAAACACACATATTAAGAAATATTTTTGTATACATTTACTATTTCTATTTTGTCTATTAAAAAACACTTGATTTTATAAAAGATCCAATCATTATTCCCTCCAATTTCTCTCATCTAAAAGTTGAACTATTTCCAATAAAAAGTGCATTAAATAAAGCTAAAACATCAAATTTTATGAAACAATTTTTTTTTCTAAAACATCAAGTTTTCTGAAACAGAGGAAGTATTTAAAACATGCAAAATGAACATAAATAAAAATATTAATATAAATTGGTAGAAGACAATAACCCGCGCGTAGCATCCATCCGCGCATTGCGGGGGTTCACACCACTAGGTGTCATGTAAAACTAATATATTATGTTTGGATTTTTTTCTTTCTCAAGTTAGAGTTTAGATTTTTGGTTTAAAGGTAGAAATTTTGGGGTTTAGGATTATAGGATTTAAATTTTTGGTTTTAGAAAAAAAATAAATTGTTTCTTTTTTGTTGAATTTTAGTCCATATCTTATTATATAAAGTTGGATGCGCGCGACGTAGTTGGACATGTAGGATTTTTATAAAATATAGGATTGTGACATTTGTCACTTTTAATGTTATATCCGTTAAGATCGTGACACATATATTCGGAAAAAAGGAAATTTTTATTTTAATGGGAAATTTTTAATATCTTATTATATAAAGCTGGATGCGCACGACGTGGTTGCGACATGTAGGATTTTTATAAAATATAAGATCGTGACATGTGTCATTTTTAATGTTATATCCGTCAAGATCGTGACACGTGTATTAGGGGAAAAAAGTAAAATTTAAAAAATTTCTAGAAAAAGGATAATTAAAAAAAAACGAAATTTAATCTATTATACTAAAAAAACGAAATTTAATCTATTATATTAAAAAGGACGAAATTTAATCTATTATATTAAAAAGGAAAAAATAATATTTGTCATATCCTAACAGAAAAAAGTTTTCTATTCTGCAAATTTATATTATCCAAACACATATAATTTTCTAAATCCTATTAGTACATGGAATAGGTTATATGAACACCTATAAATACAAAGTTACAGTAGTCTCTTTTTTCTCATTCACAAACTCATCAAAGCAAATTCATCAAATTTCTCTGATTCTCTTTCTCTAATTTAAAAGTCATGTCTTTGAAAATTCAAGAAAACAGTGGAGATTATTTGACACTTGGTCAATTGGATCGAAATTGAGATTTTCGATAAATAATTTAAATTCTTTTGTTACATCTATTAAGAAAAGGAAAAAAAATCCATTTCGAAAATGAAAAATACCAATATATAATATTTATAATGGTCCGAGGCAAAAACAAAATTGAGAAAAAAATATAAATAGAAAACTAACAAAATAATTATCAAACAATTAACTAATATTAAAAAATAATAATTGATATTCTAATTTTAAATAATTTGATTTTCAATTTTTGTTAGGTAAAAAAAAATGAAATAAAGATTTCATCAATTAAAATCTCTTGAATGGAATAATAAAAGTTTGATTAATTAATCAGTTGATCAGATTTAGACATGTGTAAGTCTTTCTGTATTGGATAAAAATAATAGTAAAACAAATTAATTCATTTTATCATATCATAAATTCAAAAGAAAAATCAATTACAATAAAATATAAAATTATTACCAACCTTATTTTATGAAAATATTTTTTATCAGGTTTTCAGTATTATTTTGCTTAAGTTTAAAAATGATCAAATTTTGTTTAATATATTCCATGCTTTTACTATAAAATCTTAAAATATACCCGCGTATACGTGGGCCTTAATCTAGTCTTATAATTAAAACGAAATTTTATATGATAAAATGAAAATAATGTAATAAAAAGTATATGGAATAGGTATGTAAACTAAACAGCCTAAAATTGTGTGCAATAGATTATATAAACTCCTGTTTAAAAAAAATCCTATTAGTACATTTAATAGGTATGTAAACTAAATATCCTAAAACTGTATGAAATTGGTTACATGAACCCACTATAAAAAGAGAGCTACTGTAATCTCATTACATAATTCTATTACGAAAAAGAAAAAAAAACGAAAATCAGAAAAACATGAAGAAATAATTAAAAAATGTTACATCCAATAAGAAAAGGAATAAAAAAACATATTCCCATTACGAAAATGAAAAAAAAAACAATATATAAAATTCATTAAGAAATAAAAAGAGAGCTACTGTAGTCTCTTTTTCTCATTCACAAACTCATCAAAGCAAATTCAGAAAATCTCTTTGATTCTCTTTCTCTAATTTCAAAATCATGTCTTTGAAAGTTCAAGAGAACAGTTTTGACTCTAAGTCAATTGGATCGAAATTAAAATTAATTGAATAAAATCCTATTAGTACATTAGGAAAAATCAGAAAACAGGAAACAAACAATTAAAAAAAAATTATTACATCCAGCTATGAAGAAGTAACGAAAAAACATAATTCTATTACGAAAAAGAAAAAAAACGAAAATCAGAAAAACATGAAGAAATAATTAAAAAAATGTTACATCCAATAAGAAAAGGAATAAAAAAAACATATTCCCATTACGAAAATATATAAAAAACAATATATAACAAGCTATATTTTTTAAGTTTCTTTCTCATTAAGAAATAAAATTCATGTATTTAAAAATTAAAGATATCAATGAAGAATACTTAACTTTAGATCGATACATGTGTAATATTTGATGAAGTGATGACATGTGACAACACAAAAAAATTGAAAAAAATGTAGTAACATAAATAAATAAACTAACAAAATAATATTAAAACAACTAGCTAATAATGAAAATGAAAATTAATAATGGTAAGAGGCAAAAACGAAAATGAAAAAGAAACAATATAAATAGAAAACTAACAAAATATTTATTAAGGAACTAAACAATATTAAAAAAAGAAATTTTTATAATGACTGATCTTCTAATATTAAATAGTTTAATTTTCCATGTTTTGTTAGGTAAAGAAATATTAAAAATAAAGATTTCATCGTGGAATAATCAAAGTTTCATAAAATAATGAGTTGATTAAATTTAAACACATGTAAATCTTTCTATTTCATATCATGAATTAAAAAAAAAGTGTAAAAGACTACATATCTTTATTTAGAGATTTGTTATCGGGTTTTTAATATTATTTTCTTATCTTTAAAATTGATCAAATTTTTGTTTAATATTTTTCCTTTATTAAAAAAAATAAATAAATAAACCTGCGTATACGCGGAGCCTAATCTAATTAGCTATAAACTTATACAGTAGACTCTATAAATTAATAATGTCGGGACTTTCATATTTTATTAATTTATAAAGTTATTAATATATAGGTTTTGACTAAAAAAGTTTTTTTTTGTTTTTTTAAAGAAAATTTAATATTTATAATCTTTTAAATTTTCATTCAAATTAAATATGAACTTTCATTTATAGTATATATTCTTTTTTTTTTTATATTTCTATATTTATTTTATTATTTTTATTTTTTCATACTTGCCATATTATTTTAAATTCTGTTTTTCTTTTTATTTCCATATCTGTTTGGTGTATGGAAGATTCATATATTAGTAGCTAGATATTTTAGTTATATATATATATAATTTTTTATATGATAATTATTAATTTATGATATTACTAGATTAAGACCTGCGTATACGCGGGTTTATTTTAAGATTTGTAATAAAATCAAGAAAAAGTATCAAATAAAATTTGATCACTTTTAAAGTTAGCAGAATAATATTAAAAACTTGATAGAAACTATTTAAATAAAATAAGATCGATAACGTTTTTACGTTTTTATTGTATTTGATATATTTTTTAATTCATGATATGAAAAATGAATTAATTTATTTTATTTTAATTTTTATCCAATACTAGATTAGGCTCCGCGTATACGCGGATTTATTTATTTTTATTGTTTTTTTAAATCATGGAAGAATATAATTTGATCAATTTTAAAAATAAGAAAATACTATTAAAAACCCGTTAACAAAACTCTTAATAAAGATATGTAGTCTTTTACATTTTCATTTTGAATTCAAGATATGAAATAGAAAGATTTACATGTGTCTAAATCTAATCGACTCATTATTTTATGAAACTTTGATTATTTATGAAATCTTTATTTTTAATATTGTTTTACCTAACAAAATATGGACGCAACCACGTCGCGTGCATCCAACTTTATATAATAAGATTGGGACCATATTTTATGTAGGAGTTTCAAAAACATTATTATCTTATTATTTTATCGAATTATATCATATTTTACACTGGCCTAACTCGAGACTAGAAAATTTTATTAATTTATCGTGTTTATTAATTTATCGAGTAATAATTTATAGAGTTTATACTGTAATTCTCTTTTTAAGGCTATTGCCCTTGATCTTATTGTTTCGACAAATTTATTCAACATTTAAAAGTTAAAATTTAAAAGGGATTCCCTGATTTAATTAATTTATTAGAAGAAAAAATGTTTTTTTTTTTAAATTCGATCTTTGAACCGGCTAAGCCATGACCATCCATTGAAAATAGGGAATCGGTCTTTTCCGGTTATCGAAACAATGCCAAATCGATCCTTTCCGGTTTACAGGACATTGTATTTTCTCTTCGTTTCCCTTAAGCATTTGTAAATTATTAAATTTTGAAAACGGAATCTTCTCCTCCTTTTTCCCCCACTCTCTCAAAATCCAAGATGAAACAAAACAGTCAACAACAGTGAATCCTTGAAAACCTCACAAATGCAAGATCTCTTCGGATCCGTTCGCCGGTCACTGGTTTTCCGACCAACCGCCGACGATGAGAACCAAGAGAACTATCCTCCTCCGTTTCCTTCTCTTCTCGCCGATAAAATCACTACCTGCATCCGCAAATCCAGGGTTTTCGTCAAACCCTACTCACCACCGCCGCTTCCTCCTCCTCCTAACGCCGCCGTAACTATAAAACCTCCGATCCGGTGGCGGAGAGGTCAATTGATTGGTCGCGGCGCCTTCGGTACTGTCTACATGGGTATGAATCTCGATTCCGGAGAGCTTTTCGCCGTCAAACAGGTTAATTCGTTACCCCAGTTCTCAAATTCGATTTTGATTTTCTCTTTTCTGTCAAGCTTGATTCCTCTTTGGTAACTAATGGACTCTGATGAGCTTAATTCCTTTGATTCGTCACAGAGTCACTCTAAATAGTTTACGATCGTTCATGTTCACATTTCTAATTAGGGATTTTGGCTTTGACAGATCTCGATTTCGATTGCATTCATTTCGATTTTGATTTTCTCCTTTTTTTGTGAAGTTTGATTCCTCTGATTAGATTTTGGTAATCGATAGACTCTGCAAGCTAATCGCTTCTAAATCTGAAATCCGATGAGCTTAATTCGTTTGATTCATCACAGAGCCACTCTAATAATTTCGAATTAGTGTTTTTCTGGGTTTGAATGATCTCGATTGAGCTGATTTTAGTTGTTTATACTATTCAGGTTCTGATTGGATCAAATTGTGCATCCAAGGAAAAAACTCAGGTTCAACAAACAAACCAACCTGTTTCTTGTTCATATTGTGTTACATTCTCTCTTTTCGTTACTTGTAATTCATTTCTCTACAATGGATTCTGCCAAAAAAGGCTCATATTCAGGAGCTTGAAGAGGAAGTGAAGCTTCTCAAGAATCACTCCCATCCAAATATAGTTGTAAGCAATAAACGCTACTGTCTTCTTGCAAGTTGCAATGTTGATGGATCTATCTTAGGCGTTATTTTTTATGGCCCTTAGAGGTATTTAGGAACTGTGAGAGAAGACGAAACTTTGAATATCCTGCTTGAGTTTGTTCCTGGTGGATCTTTATCTTCTGTATTGGAGCAATTTGGACCTCTTCCTGAAGCTGTAAGTCACTTTTAAGAAAACCTTTTGGATGTTCTTGAATTGTTAATGGTGCTAATGTCTTTTAAGGTGATTGATTTAAGGTTGTTGGGAAATTCACGAAACAACTTCTTTTGGGGTTGGAGTACCTTCACAATCATGCAATTATGCACCGTGACATCAAGGTTTCTATTTTTTCTTTTGCATTTTACTACAAAGTGTTTGAAATATTCTCATGTTCTTGCCATTCACATTCTAGGTTCTTCTGTTCTCAGGGCGCTAATATACTTGTGGATAATGAAGGATGCATTAAACTCGCTGATTTTGGTGCATCCAAACAGGTAGCAGAGCTGGTAAGTCAACTTCTATTTTCAACAAAAACCATTTTTGCTCTGAGTTGTTCTTGCAACATATTCTTTTCATCATGTAGGCTACTATTTCGGGTGCCAAATCTATGAAAGGGACTCCTTATTGGATGGCTCCTGAAGTTATTCTTCAAACTGGGCATAGCTTGTAAGGATTTACATCAAACATCTTCGTAATTACTGGATTACATTCTTTGTAGCCAATTTCTTTCTTATCACTTTTGGCTATCATATGCAGTTCTGCTGATATTTGGAGCGTAGGGTGCACAGTGATTGAAATGGTAACTGGGAAAGCTCCTTGGAGCGAGCAGTATAAAGAGGTAACGAATCTTGTTATTCACTTCTCTGAATAATTCTGTTTCTTGAACATTCTGTGGACATGTCTCTTTCTTCAGATTGCTGCTATCTTCCACATTGGGACGACGAAGTCACATCCTCCAATCCCTGAGAATCTCTCCTCTGACGCAGAAGATTTCTTGCTCAAGTGTCTGCAGAAGTATGCTAACTTTTGACTCATAAACTTTAGTCTAGAAATCAAAAGTAACTTCTCTTGTGGATTGATGAAACATCTTGTTTTGCTTGGCAGGGAACCGAACATGCGACCAACCGCTTCTGAGCTGCTTAAGGTGAATAGCCAACAGAGTAAATGAAATCGAATCAGATCACATTTTGTAAATTATTGGAGTCATAACGTTCTTGCTTTTCTTTCATTGGCAGCATCCGTTTGTTACGATCAAACAAAAGGAGTCTGCTTCAGTCATTGTAAGTTCACATGACCCATCTTAGATTTTTCTTAATATTTTTGAATAAGATGTTAAATTATGTATTATTTTTTTGCAGGAGAATTCAAGCATTCCTTTAACATCAGAGTTATCTGACATGAAGAGCTTGTAAGTGCTTGAGATCATGAAGCCAAATCTTTTAAATCTGAATTTCTGACTTCTTCTGATGATACGTTTTTTTTTTTCTTGCAGTCAAATGTCTACATGTGACGATGAAGGAGACATCTGTAACTTGGGTAGTCTCACTTGTCCAGTCGCTTTTCCAGAGAATCCAATACAAAGTACCAATTTTTCTCGGAAAAGTCGTAACGACGATGATGATGAAGATGATATGTGTTTGATTGACGATGGTAGTTTCTTGACATATGATGAGAAGAACAAGAAGGTAAGCCTCTGTGCGTGTTTGATTCACCTTTTTCCTCAGCATTTCACATTTCTGAGTAATAATCAAAATCAAATTTCGGTTTCATATCTTGGCAGAGTTGTGATACCATGACTGAGATCTCTGATATTTTGAAGTGCAAATTCGATGAAAATGGAGAAACAGAGACTAAAATCAAAATGGAAGTTGACTCAGAGGACGAAAACGACTTGACCGAGTCAAAAATCAAATCTTTCTTAGATGAGAAGGTGACGACTCATATACTCAAATCTCTCAAGAGTTTGCAACATTTAAACATTATGGTAAAAAACAAATTATCTTTGATCCGTAGGCTACAGATCTAAAGAAGTTACAGACGCCTCTGTATGAAGAATTCTACAACGGTTTGATCACTTGCTCTCCCAGCTACATGGAGAGCAGCAGCAACAATAAACGAGACGAGACGACGTCGTCTCGCGGTTTCTTGAAACTTCCTCCAAAGAGTAAGTCTCCGAGCCGAAGCCATTTTAGAGCAGCGACGGATGCAACCAGTTGCTCCAAGAGCCCAGAGAGCAGTAGCAATATCAATACAAATGATGAACATGAATCAAGCGGCCAGAGGTAAAGTATTCAGATAGCAGTTTAAGGTTTTAAGTTGTAACCGGTTTAGATTCATTTGTCGGTTCATTTTTGGGTTTTGTAGTGTTGCATTGACAGAGATAGAGAGGAAGTGGAAGGAAGAGCTTGATCAAGAACTTGAAAGAAAGCGAAGAGGTAATTGAAGTTTTTTTTCCACAAATTTTAGATTCTCATTCACATTTTAAATGTTAACTCAAAAATCAATTGCAGAGATTACGCGGCAAGCAGGGATGGGATCATCTCCAAGAGAGAGAAGCTTGAGCAGACATAGAGAGAAGTCGAGATTTGCATCTCCAAGCAAATGATGTGTACAAAAACAAAATCAAAGCCAATTTTGCACTTTTGTTTTTCTCTCAAGGCTCTCGTACTGTTTCTAAAGGTTTGGTTTTTTCTGGATCTTTCGATTAGCTCAACTAGTATATATGATATATATACATATAAATATATGTGCCTCGTATGGATCAACTTGAAGTTTTAATACATGCTCATATGTTGGACAAACACAAGGCTTCCACTAGCATTATTGATTCATGAAATGGATCTGAAACGGACCAATCAACACAACACACTAAAACCCCTTGTTTCTCTCCAGTTCATGACACATTGTTTTTTTTTAACTTTCCTGAACTGACACCTCATAAAAAAATCATCAGCCAAATATAAACATTCTAATTAATCACAGTCAGCTTTTCTTCCGGTTTACATGCCACATTTTTTACCCGGTTTGATTTTATTTTTATTATTTTCTGATCCGGTTTTGTTTCATTCCTGTTCTTTCACGAAATCAAATCCAAGTATTAGCGGGTAAAATTTAACCAGGTATAACTATTATCCAAAATTTATCCATAAAATAAAATTTAGTTACAATCAGATTGATATAAAGGTTGGTCGGGTATCTAAAATTATTATCCAAATTTTATTCATAAAAATAAAATTTAATGAGAAAAACATGCATCCATTATTATTCTAAGATATTTGATTAATCTCATCATTTTAACATATTTTATTTGAATTTGACAACAATATTTAAATAAAAGACAATAGTATAGAAGAATTCCCACAGCAAAAAACTTATACAGATTAAATAAGATCATGTCACTTTCTGGAGCGACATGTTTTTTTTAATTTTTTTTTTTAAATTGCAGGATTTGCTATGACTTTTTATTACCGTTCAACTGTTACGCATCAAATGATATCATGTCACTTTTGCAATGAATAAAAAATATCAAAGAATATAAAACGTTCTAGACAATTCCCGAATTGTTTCTATTTTCAGTTTTTATGGATTTTATAATACAAATATTTAACGATAAACCAGAATAAAAAAAATCCCGTTGCAAAGCTTTCTGAAGCTGACATCAAATAAATTTCAATAACTCTATTTACTAACATCAAACAAAACTTGTTCAATATCAAATCCCGCGGCGTAGCGCGGGTCAAAATTTCTAGTTCTATCCAAAAAAATGTAAGTGCTCAAAGATTCTTATGTTAAATCAGTGTTGATTTGGATGTCGGAACCGGAAGCCACGTGGCGGTTCTCTTGGAATTTCTATAAGCATCTCGGAATCTCCGGCGAATGATTTCCTGGTAGCTCTGTATGCGATCAAAGCTTCTCCGGTCACCATTTCCCCTCTTTCCTTTTATCCCTTACGGTCGTCGTCCGAGAGAAATGGTTTCCCGAGAAGCTTCCGATCGGCTTCGAGACTCACTGGGCCCTTCAAGCGTTGTTGTTTAAGCCCACATTCTTGGCCCATTAATAGATATTTCGGATCTTACCCGAGTAAAGAACATTTATGGATGTCACAAACTTTTTTTTGGTCGGGATGGATGTCACAAACTTTGTCTCTTAGTTTTCTCCGAAACGGTCAATGTTTTCTGAAACGGTCAATGATGCTTTGAATTCTCTGACCTCTTAGAATTCTTTTAGTATAAACTCTGTATGTATATTGGTTTCTGCCATTTCTGATAATCAGAAAAAAAATTCTCTAAACATTCTTGGCCCATTACTAGATATTTCGGATCTCACCCGTGCAGGCTGGTTAAACCCTAATCCTTCGAGTGAAGAAAATTTATGGATTGCTGAGAGGCCAAACGTGGATTGTTCATTTCTTCGTCATTTGAAAGAGGTACGCCTTGTTTTTCAATTGGATTTTGTCGATTTCACACCCTGGTTGCTTAATTAGTTTCACTCTCATTGCATGAGCATGAGTCGGTCTGTTATCTCTCTGTACGAAACCCTAGATTAATTTGTTGATTTCTACAAGTTAGATAGAGAGATGGATCATGCATACAAGAGTCAGCTGCAATCATATGCCCTGAAACAGAACATGAATCTACCGGTCTACGCCGTTGAGCGCCGAGGGGTTGATCATGCTCCTCGTTTTAGATGTAAGGTCACAGTCTGTGGACAGACTTTCCAGAGCCAGGATTTCTCTCCGACATTGAAAGCGGCTGAAAATGCCGCTGCAAAAGTAGCTTTGGCTTCACTCAATCCAGAGGCTAGTTCCCACTTTACTCTGGACCACCTTTTCGTGCCTTTTCCATGTTAATTTACACTTTATTTTTTATTTTTTTTTTTAATGCAGGGAATTGATGTTTCTTACAAGAACCTCTTGCAAGAAATTGCCCACAAAGAAAATTCTCTTTTACCAGTTTATGCAAGTGCCACATCCGGTCAATCACATCAGCCTACTTTTGTTTCAACTGTTGAGTTTGGTGGCAAGGTTTTCACAGGACAAGAGGCCAAAACCAAAAAGTTAGCCGAAATGAGTGCTGCTAAAGTAGCATTCATGAGTATCACAAATAGTATGTGATTATCATCCTCTGTTTTTCCTACAAAATGTCTTGTTAAATTGCAGTTGGTGCGTAATATTGATAAAATAAATGATAGTGGATGGTTACCACTCTTCTTGTTGTGAAACGCTATTGGATTGCATTTAGCTGTGGATGGTTTTCTGTATCTATACCATTTGATTTGGACTCTATTGAGTCTTGATGCATATTTTTCAATGATTACAAGTCAAACGAGACAAGTTGTATGAATTCAGATATTGTATCATGTGCAGGGAGCTCGAACCAAGAAGCTGCCAGTTCAAATGTGAAGAGCACTCAACAAGAGATCCCATCCAAAACTTCCAAGAAGATACCGACCGTGACCCCTGATGTCCCATCAAAGTGGATTAAAGTTTATGAAGAAGGTTAGTCTTCTTTGTAACCTATTACACTACATGAGACATCATTCTTTGTATTAGAAAACTCATGTTATATATAGTCTTCATTTTCTGTGCAGAACTTCCAGATGTTGTTAATCCACCAGACCATGTTGTTGCTTCGCCTGTGCCTCAGAATCCTACAGACGATAGGACTCTTAGTGCACCGGCTACTATAGATATAGAGATCCTGAACAACAATTCTCGTGCTTCTTTGCCTATGCCTGAGTTTGTCACAAACGATGAACAACGCCATGTGGAGAAGAGATTGAGAAGAAGCTGATAATGGGATTTGGGCACCTGAGTATACCAAGTGGTCACTAAAAGAGTTTTGGTGTTTTTCGTTTTTACAATTGATTCTAGAGGTTTTCCTTTTTGAATTGGGTTTATGGTTTTGGATTGTCAGTGGGCCTATTTAAATGTCTCTATTGATTAATAAGAAAGAATTAACCGTAAGGCTCCAAAGAGAGTTTAGGGTTAAGAGGAAGCTTAGCTAAATCTCTCTTAGATCTCTTTCACTTCTCTTGTGTTCCTCATAGGTTATCTAGGAGCAACTACTTGATCAACATGTGTTTTTTCGTCCATGGAAGCCGGAGATGACTCTTCCTCAAGACGTGAAGATGCTCTTTAGGGATGATAGATTTATTGCTTATTGTCTCCTGAAGCCCTGAAGTGTAACAAATCGAGGTTAATTAAGCTGGTTAGGGCTGTCTTGACTCTCTTTGGATTGTGAAATGTTGAGTAGCTAAAGACAACATCTTTAAAATCGCATTTTACCACTCAAAGTGGCAAAAGTGAGCCCTTTAAACCTCTAAAGTATCACAGTAACACTTTAAACACTGGAACTAATTTTACTAACACCTTAAACCTCAAAACCACCCAAATTGGTCGAGCCGCCATTCAGAACAGTTGACTCCGCTTACGGAACGGTTAACCACTAAAGAGAGGACCAAAATCGATTTGGGGATTTAGGGTTCGTGAGAGAGAAATTTAGCAGAGGCCAAATCGAGCAAAGATAGAACCGATACCAAGGTGAAATGAGGTAATTAACCTATCTATTGGCATATCTTAACTTTAATTCCTGTTAAAATGGCTAGTTATTGCTTGCGAATCGAATTCGCCTCCTTTTCCACAAAATAGAAAAATCTAGGCTTTGTATTTGCTCGATATTGGAAATTCTGGGTTTGCAGTTTTAGTTTCCATGTAGAAATTGGTTTGCTTCCTGATATGTGCACGTTATTAGAAATTTCGACTTGTGTTAACAATGTTGATAAATAAATTTTGATATGCCATTTTCTACTTGAATGTTAACTTGGTCTTTCTCCATTGTTACAGTGAGAGTTCATCAATATTTCACACTGCAAATTCTCAGAGTGTGACTTCATCTAACTGTGAAAATGGTGTACTTTGCTATTGTCACCGGCCAACAAAGATTTTTAGAGCTTGGACCCGTAAAATCTCTGGCGTAGGTTCTATAGTTGCATAGGCCGTGGAGGAGCCAATGGGTGGGTCTCTTGCAAGTTCTTTGATTGGTATGATAAAGAGGAACCACAGGAATGGCAACATGTTGCATTATTGGTGGCTGAGCAGACAATTAAAGAGGAAAAAGGAGAGAGATTGAGGGTTTGAAGAACACGGTAAGAACATAAACTCATCATTCTGATAATACTGGAAATTCAAATGCAGTGGTTGTTAGATTGAAGGAAAGAAATGAAGTGCTTGAAAGAGCAGTGTTGATTTTAAAGGGAGATAAGTATTGTATGTACTTCGTAATGTTGTTGTGGCATCATCAGTTGGACTTGTTGTGCTTGTTGGAGGAGTAAAGACAACTTGAAAGTGTTTGTAAGAGTTTATGTAAGGGTCTATGGTTATCTAAAACATATTCCGTGTTCTCGCTTATGTCTTTGTAAGACTTTTGTATTTGATGTCTTTGTTTGGGATTTTGTAAGACTTTTGGTTTCTTTTGCTTCAGATCTTAAAAATATTTGGTATTTTCATTCATCATTTGTTTCCACGTTCAGATATTGAATTATCATTTGTTTTCCCAGATTTACTTGGTTTTCAATAAAGCAAGTGTCCTCGATAACATAAGACCTTTGGAGAGTTATTAGGTATTTTTAATTTTGACCATCGTTACTTCAAGACTGCTAGTGTCTAGTTAGCCAAGAAATCGATCGGGATCTCTCTGACTTTCTTAGATTTGGAAACATATAACACTTGCTCTTGGATAGTTTTTAAAGACATGTCTTGATCCACATCAGTATGATACCTTCCACTCCGATAAACTTGAGAGTAGAACAAATTGCTTGATCTCTTACCATTTGTGTTGACCAAAATGATCTTGATAGTGCTTACAAGCTTTGATTGATTGTGTCTCATGGTGTATATTCCGCTAAAATCAAGATATTGTGATCTAGTTTGTGTGTACCTAAATATTGTAGACACAACACGACTTTTGTAAAACAGTTTTAACGGGGATACAACTTCACATGATGGGCTCCACGAGATCATCATACAAGTGTTATAGTAAGTTTCATCTTTTTATTTGGGAGTTCTGACATTTTAATTTTCTTCTTTGGAGGAATAATGCATGTCCGTTACAATTGACGAAATCTATTATTCCTCAAAAAAAAAAAATAATAAAAATGTCAGAACCACCAACTAAAAAGATGAAACTCATTGAAACATTGCATCATGATCTGTGTATAGCACATCCTGTCAAATTTTCTCCCCATCAAAACTACTTTACAAAGTTTGACATAATTTAGACCGTGAGACGTAATCAGTCAAAGGTTATAATCAGTCAAAGGTTATAAGCATTATCTACAACATTTTTTATCAGCACAAAAGGCCAGAAATCAACCGGTTTGTTCTTATTCTCAATTTTATCGGCGTGGAGGCTAAGATACTCACGTGGATCAAAATGTGACTTAATATATGTATCCAAGAGTTTGTGTTATTTTTCAAATTTAAGAAAGCTATATATAGAGATCCTGATCAATTTCTTAGCCATCGAGACGCTAACATTCTTGAAGCTATAATGGTATAAATTCAAAATACCGAATTACTCTCCATAGGGTCTTAAGTTATTGAGGACAATTACGTTTATTATCACTTTCTTTTCTAGATTTATTTGTTATTGAAATTGTTAATTATTTTATTTCGGAAAAGCCTAATTTTCTGAGTATTTCAATTACTTAGCTGTTTCGTTGGAATTTGTTTTTGCCTTATGGACCATTTTCGGTGTGTTTTCTAGTGAGCACTATGAAATAGATTATTCATATGTCAAAAACAAAGTTGGTTTAAACGAGAAATGAATGTTAAAGTGAGTATCTTGTAAAGCTGAAATGTAACACTTATAGCCTTATCATAAGCTATCAAGGTCAAGATTTATTCATTAAAAATGGTCATATGATAAGGCTATCAAGTGATTATGGATTTCCTAAGGATAGTACTTGTAGGCAATGCTCGCATGTATTTTCCATAAGAGATATGGGTACTGATTGGCGTTTGGACTGTCAGGACTTTTAGAGTTTTTAAAGCCTTCAAAGTTATAATTTTATTAATCAGACTTTTAAAACTGTATCTTTTTCTAAAGTCTTTAAAGTCTTTTCGACAGTTTTTTTTATCTTTCCTTCTTTATTTCTGAAAGCACACCTACGATGCTTTTATTCTCTCTCCTCTCCACTTTTTTTTATTGTTTTCTTTTTTAATTATTGTTATTCTTATTTCACACCCCCAATTAATTGAAACTACTTTTTTAACCATTATGTTAATCTTATAAAAACGAAACTTTTACAAATTAACAATTATTACATTTTTCTCATTCTTTTAAGATCCATTTTTCATATATTTTTATATATATAATTAGTATTAGTTTTCATGAAAAGAATAAAAAATATTAATAAAAAAAATAAAAAACAACAGTCACAGTTCTTACAGTTTTTATTACCAATCAGACTTTTATAAATATTAAAAGTAATAGTCACAGTCTTTAAAGTCAAATTCTCTACAGCCAAAAGTGACAACCTAAAGCCTAAAGCCAAAGTCCTAAACAATCAGGCCCATGATAAACGGAGAGAAAAAGGTTATTAGGTGATGGTGGTTACTTGGCAACTGCTAGAAGGAGGAGGGCAGTTGCCCCCACCCCATGAAATATTTTTAGTTTTATATGTAATTTTTATTATGTCCCTATTGTTACATATATTTATAAGGTTATCTGATTGTTTTTCGCGGATAATTTTGTTTTTTACACAATTTGTCACGTAATATCAGTTCTTACTATAAGACAGATTGGAGACTCGCTCTCCCAACAAGTCTCACATTAAACCTACACCACCCCCGAACAAACTAATAATTGTTTTTAGAAAAATCTTCTTTTTATTAACAACTCATATAAAATGATCAAAAACCAATAAATTAACCATATATACCAACCGAAATAAGTTTCATGACTTTTACCCTAATTTAAGATGAATTATATAGATTTTTCGTTTATAGCTTTTATCATTAATGCGAAGAAAACATCATTTATCAAAACAAAAATTATGAGTTTCCTCTTTTTACTAATATCAGTGGTATCCATACAAATATGAGTATTAAGAGATTCACTTACCCTTGTATCTTTGCATATTTTCCACTTTTGAATGTCTACCAACGCTCTGCAACAATCTGACAAAGCTACTTCTTGTCAAAGTTCTGCCCCCGCCCTGCAAATGTATATCAAATAATGAAATTTAAATGTGTGTCAGCTAGTAAGTAAACTTATATTATAAATAAAATTAAACTATGAAAATTATTATTTATGAAATGGAAACAGATAGCAACCACACCAAATGAGTTTTTTTTTAAACTAGATACTTCTTTGAACAAAAATAAAAAATACTTCCATCGAAAAATTAAAATTTAGATTTTCAGATGATGTGAATAAATATAAATTATTATTAAGTTGAAAAATATTTTCAAAAAGGTTACGAACATATGACTTCTTGTAGGGAGGAATAAAAAATATTGAGTTGTAATAAGAATAAGAAATAATAATTGATTTAATTAAAATATCACAACAAAGATTAGCAAATCGTTACCAAATATCATTAGCTTAACTGAAAAAATACCAAGATCTACCTTCAGAGGTTACAAGATCAAGTGAGATACAACCATAAAACAGCTCTTGTCCTTACAGCTCTTGTCCTGGATCTTATGGGATGTAAAATATATTAGGTGTCTGTCAAATTAAATAATCTAATGACGCATATAAAATATATACACAATAAAACACAACAACACTTGCATAACACATATCGTAAACAAAAGCTAAGATTTCAGTAGTCATGTGATAAATCAAAAACTTATTATAGATAAAAAAAAATGAATTTAAAATATTTTAATTTTGATAAGATCATAAGTGTATCATCTAATTCAAGAGCGAAATACTCACAACATATAACTGCAACAAAGTATCAATATAAAAGCATCACAGAAACACACATGATAAAGAATAAACAAAACAATATCTTAAACAAAAGCTAAGATTTTAGTTGTCATGTAATAAATCAAGAACTTATTATCAATGGAAATATGAATTTAAGATATTCTATTTTTGATAAAATAACTAATTCAAATGATTAAGTGTATCATCTAATTCAAGAGAGAAATATTCACAACACATAGTTGCAACAAAGTATCAATGTAAAAGCATCGCCGGAGATCTAACAACTACGATATTTTCTTTCGCAGAGAACACACAATGAAAAACGGCGATAAAGAATAAGTGAAACAATAGGTTTAGGTTGAACAACTAAATAACACTTATATATACGCATTTTTAGGTAAAATATATATAACCCAAAGCCTACATATAAAAGCTCATATAAAAAGCCCAAAACCTATATATAAAACTCATATCTAAAAGCCCAAAACTATCATGCATGATGATACAAAATAAAATTTTATTTTTTCTTTGGTGGTCACTTTAATATTTTCAGTAAATTTGTAAATGACAAATTTTCTAACTAAAAACGGTTTAACTATAAAAATGAGCTTTTAGTATGAATATGAAAAAAAGTAGTTCACAGAATGAAAAAAAAATGATAGCCTAGATAAATGGGATAAAACAACTAAGAATATGAAAAAAGAGTGGAAAAACACCGGAAAAAAGTTTGTATGTGATCAGAAACTTGGAATGTTAAAAGTCTACATATTCATGAGCAAGATTTTCTAGATAAAACTGTTTAAATATAAGAGGCCAGCAATGGTGATTTTGTATTAATATTATGGATAGATCAGAGTTTGTATGGTTTTTAAGCTTAAGGAAAACTATATGGACGTATTCTTTAAAGTTCATGTTATACGATGTGGCTTACAAGGGTGATGGCCAGTAAAACATTGTAAAGAATATTTAAGCAAACCTTTTTTATATCCTTTGTTTTTTTTATTTTCCTTGAGGACAAGCAAAATTTAACTCTCAAGGAATATATATATATATATATATATATGTTTAAATGTTTTTAGTTTAAATATTTTTTGTAAGTTTTCTACTATATATATTATTATCGTATTTGTAGTTTTTTTATATTTGTAATTTTGTATTTTTAAAAATGTGAACATGTTATATCATTAAAAAAGCAAAAGGAATTTGAATCACAAATTCACAACATTCACACACCATTTAAATACACACCATTTGAATATATTATTATTTTACACAATATTCATACAAATCAAAAAGACTATGAGGCCCAATAAAAAAACCAAAACTGAACCCATTAGGTCAAAGTGGAAGAAAAAAAAATGAGTGCCACACAGCCGTCTTTTGCTCCCCCCGCCCCCCGTCCCGTTTTGTCACTTTTGATCATCATGCCGGTGAGGATTTCTCCGACTATCCCACATACGCCTAATTGTTCCGCCGCCACGTGTCTTACCACATGTCTTATGCCGATGCCGTTGACTCCGGTCTCAGTTACCGCATATTGGGTTGCCAAGGACACCACCATTGGTTCTTGGATATGGAGTAAGTTTATTGATGCATGCGTGGGATGTGTACAAGTAATAAATACCTAGATTCAAGCAAGTGTACAACATGTAATTGTAATTGTAGTACTTAAGGGTCGAACCACAAGAGATTGTGAATTACACATTACAAGTTCATAAAGTTTAATAGCTAAACTAAATCAAAACATGCAAGGGTTGTGTTCTATATAATTGAAACAAAACACATACGGTATAAGTAAAGTAACATATTAACAAATGCAAATCTATGCAAGCAACATTATTGCACCATTAAAAACCTCTTTGAAAACATATGCCAAGTCGACTGAAAAGTTTGTTAAAATCCGATTCTTTTGAACTCAAAACACTAAGGAAGGATTGTCCCACTTTCGTGGCTTCAATTCCCTATGTCTCTTAAACCAATGGCCTCAAGTTTCGTTGTCATTGTAGAGTGAGGCATGCATTACAAATTGAGTAATGATTGTTCACGAAACTCTTTAGGTCTACTTTAATAGCCTAAAAAGATTTGCCCATCAAATACTATGTCCAGAGATATAACAAGTTTTTGGAGAGTATATAAACCTAAGATCGAGTCACTAGTTAGCTACTCTAGAAGCAAGCATTAGGTACAAATAAAGATGGAGAACCATAACGTTTCCCTTTTAAGGGGCTGGTTCCTCATTGAAGGATCCATAATCCAATAAGGGGCTTATGTAGTATAAGATATCTCATAGATCCATCGGAGAGAGAGGCAGAGAGATATGAATCAAACCACATCTCTTTCTTAGGGAGAAAATCTCTACTCCTAGATTTATATGAATCGAAACATGTAAGTATGTACAATGCAAAAGAAGAAAGAAGAACAAGGAGACCACCTAAGTGGCTCCGAAATTTATTGAGGTGACTCTAATGAAAAGAGAATGTATAATCAGGAGGATAAAAGCAAGTATATATAGGAGATGAGAGGGTTTAGGCCAGCTGAGTTGAGGCGCGCCAAGAAGAGGAAAGTTTCCATTTCTCTTCAGCCGCTTGAGCTTGCTTCCCAAGTTCTTGAACGGGCCGGGATCGGGCCAGGGAAGCCTCCTTATTTTAGCTAGGACAATTTAAAGATGAGCCAAGCCCTTTCCCACGTTGGCCCGGGCCGCGAGACACACTAAATTCTCTGTGGGCTTCGTTTCCTCGTCAGACGGACATGTTTTGTTGGAACGGGTGTATCTCCCTGATGGCTAATCCAAGTAACTTATTTCCACTTCGACGCGATGCATGACTCAATTATATATCTTTCAAGACCAAGATGGTGTTTTTCGAACGTCTAGAAAGCATGAGTGCACGGTAAAACTTTGGATGCTCCAGTTCTGCCTTATAGCGAGAAATGTACTTTTGGTGCTCTATTGCATGGTAAAACTTTGGATGCTCCAGTTCTGTCTTATAGCGAGAAATGTACTTTTCGTGCTCTAGACTTGGGAACTTTACTAGACTTGGTTGTTAGGATCATTTTGCTCCATTTTGAGTTTTTGACCTCTTCTTTGCCATTTTGACCTATTTGATACACACAACCAAAATAGACAAGAAAACTACCTCTTGAGCATAAAAGCCACATTATTTGAATTGAAAACATAGTAAAAACTTTAACAAAAACATGTAAACTATGGATATATCATGGCGCTATTGGGATGTAGACCACACACCTGAATACCTGGAATTAGGATATATTTGGCATATTTCAAAATTGAACTTTACTATTGGAGGTATTTGTGCCTGAGACAATCGCGACCTAGATCTCCCTTCCGAAGTCGGTCTAACGGCTGGCCTCACGCTGGTCGACGAGAATCTTCCCCTTTCTCCCCCCTCTTTCATTTATCCCTTCGTGGAGAAGTTTGGTCGACACTCTGAGGATCCTCCAGATCCAGATCTGGCGTCCTAGGGCTCTCCTCCGACCCCTCTCCCAGTTCAAATTCTAGCTTCTTCCTCTCTGATAGTCACAGCTTTGGCATCAGTTACAGTCAATCTACTCGATCCTGCTCTTGATTCCTCAGCTATGGCTCATGACTCCTCAGATTCAGCACTCGCTTCTCAGGATTTCCCTCTTCATCCGTTCCAGAGTCGATTCCTTCTTCCTCCGTTGTTCCCTATGCGTCAAGGTTTAAGGCTTCTCTTAGGAATCTAAGGAAATTGGCTCCTCCTACCTATCTTGATGATGGGACTCCAGTTGTCCATGCTCCAGAATCAGTTCTCCTCAAGGCTTATGAAATGTGGAAGGAACACATTATCACTCAATTTCATGGTCTCTTACCTCCAGCTTCAGTGGTGTATGCCAATCTGAACCCATTTGGGGGAAAGTGTGGTAATATGACGATGAGAAAGCTATTGGACTATGCGTGTCTCATTCTTATACCATCAGTTGCTACTCGGGATTGGGTGTTGGAAGTTGGGTATTGGCAGGCGGGGAATTGTGGGTTTAATGTTTCTCCGTGGTCGGCTTCTGCTTCCTTAGTGCTCCCTGACCTGGTTTCAGCTCCAACATGGGCGGTTCTGAAAAATGTCCCACCAATGTTATATTCTCTAGACGGTATTAGTGTTATTGCAAGCGCTATCGGTGATCCCCTACATACTGAAAACTCTCGTCTGGATGTGGTGATTATGGGAGCTACAAAAGTTAAGGTGGAAATCATGCTTGACAGCTCTCCTCCGGAAACTGTTATTGTGAGAGATCTCTGCGAAATTTAGCAAAAGTAGATGTCTCTTATCCAAGGCTTCCTATTAAATGTGTGAACTGTTTAAGATTTGGTCATCTCATGAATCGGTGTCCTAAACCGGTGATGAAAAGAAGACCTCCGAAGAAGAGTCAGCCGAAAGTAGCATATGTGGTGCTTAATCCCCATCCAAGACCCGATTCCTCTCTCCCTGCTTCCCTAAGTCAGGAGAAGAAGGAAATTCATGCTTGGGTGATTCTTGTAGTCAAGCCAAAATATCCTAGATGCAGAGCGAGATCAAAAGGAAGGTCTTCAGCAGTAACAAGGGCTAGAGCATTGATTTCGCCCCCAAAGACAGCCTTTTCTTCCCTTCCATTGAAAACGCCACTCTTGGCTCTAAGGGAAGTAGTAGATGTTCCAAGAGTAAAAAGGGCAAAAAGAATGATGAGGAGGTTGTAAAGAAGAAGCCTTTAAGGAAGCAGCTCTTAGCTCTCCGATGAGTGAAGGGTCTACTGGTAAGGAGCCACCTCCGGCTACTTTGGTAGGGGGTCCAAGCTTAGGTGAGACAAAAGTGAAAGGACTAGGGGACTTTGCAGAGTTCAGTGCTCCCGGACCATTGTCTATTTCAGAAGAACAATTTACTCTCCTCACTCGGTCAAGCAAAAAGAAACTCAGAAAGGATTTGAGAAGCGGGACTGGAAGCAGCTTCCCCAAAGGTATTTAAGTGTCAAACTCGGATCTCTGTTCAGGGAAAGCCTCTGAACATAACTCAAAAAGCTTATATCCTCCCCCTTTTTGTGTAAATAATAAGGGTCTTTTCTTGGAATCTCAGAGGCTTGAATAGTCATACTCGTCAAGGTTCACTCCGTATGATCGGTATAAATAAACCTCTATTGGGAGGTATTTTGGAGACTCATGTAAAGGAGGATAGGGTAGAGGCGGTCTTGACCAGCGTTTTCCCTGGTCGGAGATTTGATAGCAACCATTCCTTCTCAGATACCGGTAAAATTTTGGTAACTTGGGATCCGGAAGTCTCAGTTATTACTTTCAAGAAAACGGCTCAGTTTATATTGTGTTGTGTACATATTCCGGAAACTAACTCGTCGTTATGTGTGGTTTTTTTCTACGCTTTTAATCTTGAGTCTCAAAGAAGGGAGCTTTGGGAATATATCTCTCTTATTCGTCAAGGGTCACCAGCCTCTTTCCGGCCTTGGATCCCCTTTGGTGACTTCAATCAGATTATGCTCTCCTCAAAGCATTATTCCTTATCTCCTTATACGCTCCCGTTGAGTGGAATGGCGGAGTTCAGGGATTGCCTAGAGGAGAACGAGCTAGCAAATATCCATTCTAGGGGAGTTTTCTTTACTTGGTCAAATCATAACCCAGATAATCCAATTTTGAGGAAGTTGGACAAGGCCATTGCAATTGAGACTTGGTTGAGTACTTTCCCAGACTCTGTTGCTATTTTTGATCCCCCTGGGAATTCAAATCATTCTCCTTGCATTGTTGTTCTGTCATCAGAGGAGGAGATTCGCAAAAAACGTTTCAAGTATTTCTCCTTTCTCGCCACTTATCCAAAGTTCAACGCCGTTTTAACAGAAGAATGGCAGAAAGACATCTGTGTGGGATCTTGCATGTTCTCTTTGGGACAGAGGTTAAAGAACGCGAAGCTGAGATGCAGGGCTCTGAACAGAGAGGGGTTTGGTAATATCCAACATAGGGCAAATGAGGCGTTCTCTAATCTAGAGAAATCCAGCAAGCTTTACTAACAAATCCTTCTCACTCGGTATTTAGGGAGGAACATTTAACAAGGAAGAAGTGTGACTTCTTTGCTAAAGCTCTTGAGTCTTTCTATAGACAAAAATTAAGAATTAAGTGGCTGAAGGAGAGGGATACCAATACGGCATTCTTTCACAAAGCAGTTGTTGCTCACGTCTCAAGGAACCGTATTCGTCACCTTTGTGACGCTAACGATGAGTGGATATAATCAAGATCAAGTAAGGGATATGATAGTGGCCTATTACTCAAATCTGCTGGGATCCGAGTTTCTAATATTGTGTCCTTCTCTGTGGAAGATATTAGAGGGATTCATCCTTACAGGTGCTCGGAATCCTTGGGACATCAGCTTAAGGCAAACCTATTACAAGAACAAAACTTTTGGGAATCTTGGTGTACCCCAAAGGATTGTGGAGGTTTCGGGTTAAAGAGGATCACAGACTGGAATAAGGTTCTAGGGTTTAAGTTAATTTGGTTCTTATTCACCTCTGCAGGTTCTGTATGGGTTTCATGGGTTAAGGAAAACCTATTACAAGGACAAAACTTTTCGTCCTTAGAATCAGGCAGTTCGGGAAGCTAGATTTGGAAGCAGATATGTTTGCTTCGTTCGCTGGCTCGGCCTTTCCTGTATTGTGAAGTCGGTTATGGCTCCTCATCGAGCTTCTGGTTGGATAATTGGACAGATATGGGACCTTTGATTGATCTTTCCGGAGCTAGTGGTCCGAGATCTACTGGGCTGCATATCAATGCAGTGGTGTCGGATGCAATAAGGGACGGGGATTGGTGGCTTTCTTCTTCTGGAAGCTGGAATCCTATTATTTCTCTGATTCATTCTTGTCTTCCGGAGGTGGAAGGTATATTGTCAAGTGAAAGTGAGGACAGTTTTTGGTGGAAAATTGGGAACAATCCTCCTTCACCTTCCTTCTCGACTTCCCTCACTTGGGAGTTCCTGTTTCTACCGGGAAACGTGGTTATGTGGTACAAAGGTGTATGATTCAGAGATCGGAATCCGAAACTTGCTTTTGGCTGTTGGGTGGTTGCTCAAAATAGGATGCATACGAGGGAAAGTTAAGGAGTTCGGGTTTGCAGGTCTCTCCTTCTTGTCTTTTGTGCAGGACTCACGAAGAATCTCGTCAGCACATGTTTTTCGATTGTCAGTTCAGCAAGGAGGTCTGGTTTTTCTTCACTTGGGCGGCCAATCTCACTTGTCCTACTCTCTTTGATGATGTTGTGGTTTGGATAATCAATGCGTCTCTTAATCCGAATGTCAAATCTATTATCAAGCTCCTATTTCAAGCAACCATTTATCTCCTTTGGAAGGATAGGAATTCTAGGCTTCACTCTTCTATCTCGAGACTATCTGGAAGCGTTAGGGAAGAGATCAAGTCAGTTACCCGTCGGAAAATTGATCCTATGTCAAGAGCTCAGCGTAACTTGCCATCTACAGTCTCTCTTCTAACAATCTGGTTCTCTGTGTTCTAGATGCCTTAGTCTAATTTAGTTTTAACTTTCTCTATAGAAGATGTTTTTATCATCATTTTTTTGTGTCACTTTGAGTGACTTCCAGCTTATGTGTTGTGGTATATCCAACTTGTGCGTTGAGGTATTGTGTTGTGACCCGAAGGGTTGTTTCTTTCATATATAAAATGGAATGGAATTTTAAAAGAAAGAAAAAGAGGGCTTTCACGTCATGTTTGTAATGTGAGATATTTGTTTGTTTTTACATATAACTAAATTATCAAAGTTGTATGAGTTTTCCAAACCACTAATTTTGGACAATCATTTCTTATTCAAACAAACTTCGTTTCTAGAATTCACTACATTGTAATGATCATAAATAAAGAACCCAACGATTTCAAGATCTGTCATTCCGACAGCTAAGTTGCTCAGAAAAGTTATTATAACATTGGCAAACATCATTATCCAAAAAACATGTACCAATCGTTCCCGAGACCATTTTCTAGCTAAGACGTTTGTTAGAATGATAAGATGTTAGGCACGATGGAGTCACCGCAATGAGCACTATGTCACAGAGAGTATTCATATGTAAAAAAAAAAAAGAGTTGATTTAAATGAGAAATTGTCATCCAAAGTAGGTGATTTGGAAAACTTAGTGTAAACACTCGTTAACAACCAATATTAGATATTTGGATTTGGACTTGGGTATAAATATGTTAATTGGGCATTATGTCCATTAAGAACCGCAAGCCACCTCGTACAGACGACTCAAATAGTCAAATCCATCCAATTTCGAACAGGAATTGTACAGAAGACTCAAGCAAGCTTCGATTGAGTTTGAATTTAAAATACCGTATTTCGTTCCGTATTTAAATGTTACCTTTTCAGCATATAAACATGCTTAAATGATGTTTTTGAAAAGCAAATTTCCTCTTTTTCCACTTTTTAAAGGAGAAAAACTTTGCATCTTTTTTATACCTTTGTCTTGTCAAAAGAAAAAACAGAGCACCACTTCCTTCTCTCACTCTTTCGCAGCTTCCAAGCTTCTCTCTTTAATGGCGATTCTCACAGAAGCAGAAGATGAAACGAAAACCCAGTCTCCAACTCCACCTGAGAATAAACCCCAATCTCAATCTCAAAGCCCTTTCCCGTTTTGGTTCTACTTCACACTCATCGTCTCACTCGCAACTCTCATCTTCGTATCTCTCTCTCTCTTCTCTACCCACAACGACCCCAGATCTTGGTTCCTCTCGCTCCCACCACCTCTCCGTCAACACTACTCCGACGGACGAACAATCAAAGTCCAGGTAAACCCCGGCGAGTCACCGATCGAGGTTTTCGTAGCCGAATCCGGCTCGATTCACGCGGAGAAAGTACTAATCGTTCACGGGTTAGGTCTCAGCTCGTACGCGTTTCGGGAAACGCTCAAATCTCTCGATTCGAAAGGGATCCATGGCGTAGCGATCGATTTGCCCGGAAATGGATTCTCCGATAAATCGAGGTTAGTGATTGGTGGTGGAGACGACGGCGATGAAATCGGATTTGTCGCTAGGGTTAAGGAAGTTTACGGCTTGATTCAAGAGAAAGGAGTTTTCTGGGCGTTTGATCAGATGATTGAAACCGGAGATTTGCCTTACGAAGAGATCATCAGACTCCAGAAGTCGAAAAGGACAAGCTTGAAAGCGATTGAATTAGGGAGTGAAGAGACAGCTAGGGTTTTAGGTCAAGTTATTGATACTCTGAATCTAGCTCCTGTGCATTTGGTTCTTCACGATTCAGCTCTAGGGTTGGCTTCGAATTGGGTTTCAGAGAATCCCCAAATCGTTGGAAGCGTGACGCTTGTCGACTCCAGCGTTAGCCCTGCGTTGCCTCTGTGGGTTTTGCACATACCTCTGATCAGAGAGGTCTTGTTAGGGTTTACGTTCGGGTTTGGGAAGCTGGTGAGCCTCCGTTGCTCAAAGGAGATGGCTTTATCGGAAATCGAAGCTCATAGGATACTTTTGAGAGGAAGGAGTGGAAGAGAAGCTGTTGTTGGTTCGCTGAAGAAGCTGAACCATAGCTTCGACATTGCACAATGGAGTGGTTCTGATGAGATCAATGGCATTCCGATGCAAGTGATTTGGTCTAGAGGTGGCTCTCAAGAATGGGACGAGGAAGGTCGCCGCGTCGCTGAGGCTCTTCCCAAGGCAAAGTTTGTCACACACTCTGGCTCCCGGTGGCCTCAGGTTAGAGACTCATTGGATATATACATTTGTTACAGCTTTGTCATTGTGCTCTCTTGGCATCTTTAGCTCTATAGCCTTTAAGTTTGTGTTGATAGACTCATTTGTTAGAACACAAACCTTGGAGGTTTTTGATTGAATTGTTTAGTTGTAATGTAAGATACATAAATCTTTAAATTTTTGCCATTTTGGATGAGTTGTTAGAAAGAGACATACACAAATTCAAGATTGAGTAGGAATTTTTTTGTTTTTACTTTTTAACTTTTAGCGCTTTGAACGGTGAGAGTAAGTTTTTGAGTTTGAATAGTTGATGTGTGTGGGTGATTTGGATGATGCAGGAAAGCAAATCGGGCGAGCTTGCAGGTTACATTTCTGAATTCGTGTCTCTTCTGCCGAGATCCATCAAACGGGTCAGTGAAGAACCGATCCCGGAGAATGTGCAGAAACTGTTAGATGAAGCAAAGGCCGGTGGCGACCATCACCATCATCATCATGCGCATGCTGGTTACACGGATGCTTATGGTCTAGGAGAGGAATTGACTACTTGATCTGATTTTTTTGTGAGTTTATGTTTGTTGTTAATTATTAATATGACAATTAGTGGGATTTTTTATTTGTTAAAATTCTGAAATATTATGGTGATGAATGGGTAGTACCATTTGTAAGAAATGTTTTCAATCCCAAGTGAAAATTATACAAGTTTTTTAGTTTGTTTTTAAATAAGGTTTTAGATTATTTATACATTTTAAAATAAATAAATAAAAAGAACTAGAAAAAGAAAACGAAAGGTACACCATGGTACTGTATATTTGAAAAGTTTGTTTCTCCGTGCAATTTTTCCTATAGAAGAAGGATAGTCTTTTCCATAATAAAATCTTGTTTTGGACCATTTTAGATAATTCGGCCTAATTATTATCCAACTTTCACTTTCAACAATTTTATTGATCCACAAACACCGACGTGGAATATTAATATATATGACACTAATAAACGCAATCATCGATCCACATGATATTTATTCGGATGCGGAACTAGGATGACATTTCGAAAAAGTGCAAATAGTTATGAGATAGCTACAAAATAAACTATACTATATATAGTAATGGTTTTAGGTTTTTAGAAACTCAGTTTGATGATGTAACTAGAGAGATTTAGGTCTTGCAGAAGAGTTTCAATTTCCGGCAAGCCTCCCCGTCGTCCGACATCGTTCGGATGCGTGGGAGGCTCCCATCTCTTTCCCTTCCTCTTTTCATCTTCCGTGTGGCTCTGGCTCATTGTTGGTTTTCAGTTTCTCGCGCTTTGGTTCTCGGCGTCGTGAGGTGTGTTTCACTTAGGCGGCGCGGCAAGGCGAGGCGGTTGATTGGTGGTTGTTCGAGGGTGTGCTGACGGGTAATTCTTCTCCGATCTGTCCTGCTTGAGGACGGTAGTGGCTTCGGTGAAGTTTCGGAGGTCACCTCTTTGCGGCGGCTCCTCTCGGTCTCCGGTTGTTAATGATGAAATATAATCAGAACCACCCGATGCTAGGTCACCCCGTGGATGTTGTTCCCACAATTGCCCACGCTTCATATGATGACCTTTGAGCGTGAGGGGGGGTGTTAATGATGAAAGTCCCACATCGAAAGTTGGAGAAATAATTAACTAATATATAAAGGGTTAGGGCCTCTCCACCTATTGCCAATTGGTTTTAGGTTAGATGCCCATGTTTAACCCGAATTTGACATGGTATCAGAGCAGTCGATTTTGGGCCACCCGTGGATGTTGTTCCCACAATTGCCCACGTTTCAGATGATGACCTCTGAGCGTGAGGTGGGGTGTTAATGATGAAATATAATCAGAACCACCTGATGCTAGGCCACCCCGTGGATGTTGTTCCCACAATTGCCCACGCTTCATATGATGACCTCTGAGCGTGAGGGGGGGTGTTAATGATGAAAGTCCCACATCGGAAGTTGGAGAAATAATTAACTAATATATAAAGGGTTAGGGCCTCTCCACCTATTGCCAATTGGTTTTAAGTTGGATGCCCATGTTTAACCCGAATTTGACACCGGTCGTCACGATTGTGTGTCAGCTGGTCGTCTCTCTAGTTCTGGTTGTGGTTGTGAGTAGGAGCAGAGTAGCGTCTGTTCTGATATCCCTCCTTTCTCTCAGCAGTTCAATTGAGTGTGTTTTTCTGTTTGCTTAGAGTTGCTGCGTGGAGGTTTTTTCTTAGTGTGGGTGGACTGGTTTCTAGTTGGGGCATGATCAGGCTTCGGCTTTGAGGGTTGTTCTGACTCGTCGAGGATCTTCGTGGGGTGGCGGTGAAGAGCTCCGCCTCCACCCCGGTAAGTCTCCTTCAACATGTTCTCAGTTCCTTGGCTAGTGTTGCTAGTTTAGAGTTCTGGCTGTCGTCTTGGCTTGTTTGCGGATGGTCTCGGGTAAGTTTTTCGAAAACATTGCAATTGGAGGAGGTAGTAACACAAGAGGATCGTGTGGTTGCTTGACTCTGTGCTTGCCGACACCGGGGTGGTTGCTGAAAATGGTCTTGGGAGAGTGAGTTAGCGTACTCTGTTTCTCGTGTGCGTGTTGTTCCGACTTGGTGTTGGTCTTTAAGTTTTGGCTGACTGAGCGTCGGTACCTAGATGTTGAGGACAGTAGGATCGAGCCTCTTTCGGCATCTTAGAGCTCCGTCTCTTTGCTTGGGCATCCGTTGAAACAGCTTCCTTTTGCTTAGTGTTCATTTCTACCTGTGTATTTTCTGCTTTCGACTCAAGCTTGGGCTTCTTCTCTACTATGGGCTCACGAGCACTTTATCGTTACTTATCGTTTTCGTAAGAAAACTCGACAAAGTATCGGTTGTATTACGCTTCCATGTTTTTTACCTTTTTTTGCCATGGGACCGTTTAAGATAGGTGAAACATTTTGATTTCCAATATATAAAATCTAAACATTTCATTTTTAACGATATTTACATTCTTAGCAAAAAAAAAAAAAAAAAAAAAAACTAGAGAGATTTGATCCACACATCCATTGATTGCCAAGAGTCAAACCTAATTCTTGTACAGTAATCACATTAATGTTCCGGTTTCATGATAACTAGGCCACCAAAAAAGATGGTCTTAATCTAGAGGAACCATGTAACGTGGAATAATATAAGGAAATGAGTTTAACAATTATAAAAATTCATGTGAAGATACGCACTTTAATTTTTTTTATCAGATGGATACTTTTTGATGAAAACCCACCAGAAATATACAAATGATCAAAAATGATCATATGGAATTAAATGCATATTTTAGTTTTCTTTTGTAAAATACATTTGATTTATCAAGTGATTACTTTTTATTTCTACTCAGAACTTCTTTTTCTCCCTTAAAAAAAAAATTAAAAAAATCCTTACAGTACATTTCATGTCCGAACCAACCAAAAACAGAATCATAAGTTTTATTTAGAAAAAACTGACAAAGGAAGTAAAAGCCTGAAAACAACTCAAATAATCAACGCTTTGATGTATCTCATCATAAAATTATTGTATATAAGAAGAATTTATATCTATTTTTGACTTGCAAGAAGAGTTGTTTTCTTGTATTATTGGGGTACGCCTGGGCAACACTGATGGTCCTATGGACACATATATGTGTAGCAGTTGCATAATCTTTTTTTTTCTACTTCAACACATTTTCCTCTCACATACGATGACTTCTGGCCCCGGCAAATACGGCTACACTCTTCATCTGCGTTTGCGTTTGGTTTAATACACAACGTTGGCGGTGCTCTACTACTTGGATTTCCCTTACAGTATGGATTAGGTTTAGGACGTGCTGGTACGATGTTATCTGCTGTTTTCCCTGATTAATAAAATAAAAATATATAAATCTTATTAATTTTAAATGCATAGTATTTAGTTTTCTACGCAAAACATCGTCTAGTTTACTTCTTTTGTATATTCTTATCATTCTATGAAGTATATATATATATATATATATATATATATATTTTGGTGAAGTATTTATTTGTATAGGAATGTAATAGTTTATTTATTTCTAAGTTTTATATTCTCAAATTGATACAGATGAATTAATTAATTAGTTAGAAGACAAAGAAAACACATTCTTTTTTTTTCTCAAAATTTCATTTTTTTAGTTTTTTAAATAATCTCTTTGTAAGATAAATCCTTGTAAATTAAGTTTTTAAATAATCTCTTTGTAAGATAAATCCTTGTAAATTATATTGTGAAAAAAAACAAACACAATTTTTTTTTTTTAATTTATGCTAAGCGTCTAAAGTTAAAGAAAAATATATATCGTTTGTTAGACGCTAAAAATTGTAAATTTTTTTTTGTTAATCGTAAAATTCAAATACAAACACAAAAAAATTAGGAAGATTTATTGATTAGGATGTGTATACCTGTAGGTATCAACAAGGATATCATCAAAAGTGCAATGAAGCGAACTATGATTTCACTCTTAGTCATTTCTTTTTTACTTCTTCTTTTTAATTGATTGAATGTTTGTGTATCTCATTGTCAATTTATAGTATATAAAGATTATTTAATCTTAAAAAAAGAACAAAAATAAAAGGTAGCCCATAAAGAATGCCTACGTTACTTTTTTTGTTTTTTTTGATAATTCATGGTCAATCTCAATCCTATGAAAATGCCTATGTTACGCTTAAAATAAAATAAATATATTCTAAAAAAAAGAAAAGAACTAGTAACGCCTAATATATTCAGTCGATATGTTATTTTTGATATTATTTTAAAATTATTATCTGTTTTATTTACTTATTTCTCCTTATTAGTTATTGACTAGAGTTTTTATTTGCGAATACGGATGCATAATAGTTAGGGAGAGTTGGTTTAATATTCTAAATTTTTTTTCTAATTTGAAAACTAACCCTCTTATAAAAAACTTTGAAAACTAACTTTTTTAATAAATGAAAAGACAATAAAACCATTATTCAGCTTTTAAATTATAATTTAATATATATATATATATATATCTTAATCTTAGTTATCTTTAAATTTCAGATATATAAAAACAACAGTATTAGTCATTTTTATCTCTGATTTGAAAATATTTTTCTCTTTTCTTTTGATTCATCACAAATTTTCATAATCTTTTGCACTATTTTGAAATATGTAAAAGACCAAGATTCACTTTCTAAAATGCTTATGGGATACTTTAAAGCTAAATTCACATTATTTTGTTTATCTATAGTTTGAATTTCAAATCAGTTCCTCAAAATATCTTTCTTTTTTTTATTGTTAAATCATCTTAATAATATTTTTGGGGATTATACAACAATTGTGTATATCACAGAAAAAATAAACATTTTTTCTTCTTCTTTTCAGTTATAATAAAACTAAAACAAATGTTTATTATTCCCTCTGTCCCATATTATAAGTAGTTTTAAATTCTGTCGCATAATATAAATAGTTTTGATATTTCAATGCATTTTTACTTTGTGGAAAACTGTGTGACCATTTATATTTTGTAGTTGTTTTTTACTATTGGTTGGATTATAATTAATTTATATATTAAATTATACCTTTTTAAAGCAAAACAATTTTCTTAATTCTTGTGTTTAAGCTGAAACAGCTTATATTATGGAATAGAGGGAGTATTATCTTTAGAATAATGAAAAACTACTTTTTGATATATCAGTTTTAGACTAGAGTGTTATTTTGATTTTTTTTTCATTTATTTTATAATTATCTAAATAAAAATAATTCTATTGTAAAGGCCCCATTTTTAAAAATTTGCCATGAGCCCCCCCTTAACCTTCGCACGGCACTGACCGTATTAATCGTATGTTAAATAGTTAAGGTTAAGGTTAACAAAATTTCTAACCGTAACCGGTGGTTAAATAACCTTAACCATGATAACCGTAACCGTGGTCATGTCTACTAATTATTATTCAACTTTCACTTTCAACAGTTTTATTGATCCACAAACACGGACGTGGAATATTAATATATGACACTAATAAACGCAATCATCGATCCACATGATATTTATTCGGATGCGGAACTAGGATGACATTTCGAAAAAGTGCAAATAGTTATGAGATAACTACAAAATAAACTATACTATATATAGTAATGGTTTTAGGTTTTTAGAAACTGAGTTTTGTTAGATCCGAGATAGCACTCGTCAAGACGGGCTATCAAAGATGTGAGTTTAGGAAACTGGAAGCTTAATTCAACTCGAAGAATAAATAGAAAGTTACAAAGAAATTATCTCGCTAACAAGCTTGTCGAGATAATGTGATGAACAAGAAGAGAAAGTAAAATGGTTGCAAAAGCCTAGTAATTCTAGATGATCTCGGATGCCTTTTCTCCAATGGGGGGGTCTTCAATATATAGTGTTGATAAGTCGGCTGATGTGAATATTTTCCTTCGGCGAGATGGAAAACTTCCTCTTTTGCGATATAGAAAACTTCCTCTTGTTCTTGATTTCCTTCCATTCTTCAGGTCGGCATGAGGGTTTGTTTACATTTCTCATGGATTGTGCCTTCCTTCTCAAGTTTGCCTTTTTGTTGAGGAAGTTAGGCCTAAAGTCGGATTGGGCTTTGTGACTTTACTAATGATGACGGGCTCAGGGAAATGTGCTAATTTCTCCTCTAACAATAAGTCCCCCCCACCAGCTTGGAAGTCAAATGCGGTTTGATCTCGGCGAGTTTCATGAATAAGGAGTGAGTTCAAGAATCATTAGTAAAAATACACCGTTCCAACCGGATTTTAGTGCCTAAGTGCGTGCTGAATGTAGATTCGTACCGCCTCGTTAAAACCTCGGTATGGAAAAACCCAATTGGGACAAAAACCATAAGAAGGAAAAAGAGTACGTTGACGTCATCTAATTCACAAAACAATGTGCCTCGAACAATCTTTGCCGAGACCGAGAATGCTTTCTCGGTTCGAATGCCGTGATGAGTTCTGTTTTTATCTATGTCATGACTTCTCATTCGAGACACCGACCGGTGCGTATTAGGTCTGTGTGCTTAGGGTGTTAGGCCTACTTTCAGCGACGAGCTCTAGAAACTCGATTTATGCTTCCGACTTCAAAGCTTCGTGCGGGTGACGAGGTAGCGGTTTTTCGCTCGTCCGACGAACTGAGAGCCGTGCGAGGTGCGTGCTCTCGGCTTAATGAATGGGTGATCAGTCCATGTTTTTTAGGGTGCAAAGTGCAAGTGCTTATCGAGTTTGCCTCAATAATTTTGGTTTGACGTCAAACGGGTGCGTGCTTTATATTGACAAGTTTTTGCTTATGCCATGATGAGGCGTGCTTTGTCGAAGTGAAAGAACTTTAAATAAAATAAGTTTTAGTATCATAGCTGCGCCTTTAGTGAAAAAGGCTGCCAACGTACCCATGCCGGGATCAAGCCATTCGTAGTTCGTTACAAATGTTCGTGTCATGGACATGTCTCTTCTTTTTTTTTTTTTTTTTTTTTTGGCTAGTGCGGTGCTTCGCGTCTAGTCATGAAACTTGCGCAGCTCCGTTGAGCTCCAGAGGCGTTCGGACGTGTTGCCAAGGTTGTCTTCGAGCTGATAGATGCCTGGCTTGACAACTCGTGCGACTCGATATGGTCCTTCCCAGCTGAAGCCGAATTTGCCTAGGCGGTCGACCCTATCGTCGTTGGATTTGCACAAGATAAGGTCGTCGAGTGCGAAGCGGAGGTGTTGCTTTAGGAAGGCGGCTGCCAGATCATCGAAGCTATCGATGGAGTCGGCCCGGAGATCATGTTAGGGCTTCGCCACGCAAGTGTTCGGCGAGGGCTTGGCAGAAGTGTGCGCTTTCTTCCTCCGGTGACGCATATTTTGGTATTCTCATGGTTGTCATGAAGGACGAGATCCATTGCTTGGGATCGTCCCGGCCGTCGTAGAAATTTAGGTGCAGCGAGGTACGTTTCTTCAGTGGTATCTCGGAGAGGCGGCTCGTCAGGGGGGTCCTCCGAATGTCGGCAATGATTTCGAGTATCTCCTGATCTGAGAATGAACACTGCGGAGAAGCATGGCGGTCGCTCAGCGCGCGGTTCTCTATGCTCCTCCGGGTCTCGTCGTCGCTGACATGAGCGTCGTCTCGGCAAGGGGATGAACTGTGACGGCATCTTGGTGCTTTAGGAGTGGATCCTCCTGGGTGGAAGGAAGATGACCTTCTTTTGTTCTCAACTGGATCCGGGGATCTTTCGGGTCGAACCGTAGCTGCGGGATATCCTGCTCGATGCGAACGTAATTTTCAGCGCGAAGGAAGGCGTCCTTCAAGGTTGAGAAGGGGCGGAGGCGGAAGTCTTCCCGAAATCTAGATTGGTGCCGGAGTCCGTTTCCGAGGGCCTGGATGAGTACTGGTTCTGAGATCCGGGGTGCTCCGGGGATCTCGTCGAGGTCGAGCAGCATGCTCTTGAATCTATCCAAGTAACTTCGTAGCGGTTCGTCCTCGAGTTGTTCCATTTCGAATAGATTAGAGAGCTTCTTGGGTTTCTTAGTGCTCATGTTGGATCTTAAGTCGGATTTCCAGGTGGGCTCGGCGTTTCTTTGTTGAAGGATCGGGGGGATAGCCTCTTGCGTCGTGGCGATGCGTCTCGTTACGTCGGATCTGTTGGTCTCGTCATCCGATGTTGGCCTTGATTCTTCACGAGGCTGTTGGTTTGGGGGCTCGATCACCATGAAAGATGACGCGGTGCGAAGCTTGCGTTCGCGAAGGAAGCATGATCGCGTCATCCTTTGATCCCCACGTAAAGTGAAAATTCCGGAAGGCATCGGGAACTTCACGCACTGGTCGAAGGTTGAGATGACGGCTTTCATTTCATGGAGCCAGGGGGTGCCAAGGATTGCGTTGTAGATGGCCGGTTTGTCCATGACAATGAACTTCAGAAGTTTTGAAATTCCGCCGACATAAACAGGGAGTCGGACTGTACCGCAACTGTAAACGTGCTCGGCGGTGAAGCCGGTGAGGGGACGGGATGTGGGTTTGATGGACCTCTCTTCCACTCCCATGCGGTCCGATGTTTCTAGGAAGATGAGGTTCATCGTGCTTCCAGTGTCAACCAGAACCTTCGCGACGTCGCAGTCGTGAATCTGCAGAGTGACCACGAGTGGGTCGAGATGAGGGATATCCAGCTCGCTCGCATCCTTATCCGTAAAGGAGATAGTAGGGATTCCTTTATGGATATATGGATAGCGTTGTGCCGTGATGGCCTTTCGCTCATATTCCTTGATCGCCGATATGGAGTCGTCGTCCAGGAGGCCTCCCATGATCATGCTGACTTGTCGTCGGCGGTGGGGGTAGGTCGTCGTGGTCGTCACGATTCCTCTTTTCAGGCGGGGCTTCGCCTTTTCCTATCCTTCTTCGGAGCGGGGTTGTCGTCCGCGCTTCTCCTGCTGTCCAGATTTTGGTGGTCTCGGCGGGAAGCTTTTTCCTTGGGACCTATCGCCGTCCATTGGCGGGATTTCTCCTCGATGGTACATGCGCATAAGGTTGCTGATAGGTTTGCAGTTTTCAGTGGCGTGGCCAGTTCTCCCGTGGAATTTGCAGAAAGCTTTGGTGTCGTTGTCATCTCCGAGCGGAGTTGATGTCCTGTGGCATCGAAACGCTGCTGCGTGCTCTTGCTCGGACTCGTCGTCGGCTGCTGCGAACGCTGCGAGGAGAGACCTCTTCGGATCGTGTCTTCTTCGTACCTCCACGGTTCCTCTCTGGGTTTCGACGAGGTTGTCCTCCTATCTCCATGCTTCTCGGCATAGAAGCGTTTGGTCTTCCTCGAGGAAGATGTAGTTCCGGGAGCGGTGGAACGCGTCCTCCAGAGTCGCAGGGGGTTTTAGTGACAAATCCTCCTTGAACTTGGAGTCATACCAGAGGCCGTTGCGGAGTGCTTCCAGTGGGACGCTATCGGGCATGTCGCGCGAGCTGCTTGTTTGAACCTCTCCATAAAGCTGCGCAAGGGTTCACCTTGGGTTTGCGTTGTGGTGAACATGTTCCGAGTGATTCGGGTCATGTGCATGGAGTAATGCTTTAGGAAAAGCATTGGTTAGGTCGTCGAAGTTATCGATCGACTCGGCGGGGAGGTTAGAGAACCAGGTCAAGGCATCTTTCGCCATGTGCTCGACGAATACTTGACAGTAGTTGGCCTCCCTTCTCGTCGTAGATTTGTATTTCTCCCTCTCATGGCGAGGTTGAACGCGGTTAGCCACTTCTTGGGGTCTTCTTCGCCGGTGTAAGAGTCGATTTTGAGTCGAACTCTTTCGTGCAGATCGATCTGGCGGAGCCTGCGGGTGAGCGGGCTTCTTCGGGTATCGGCGAGTGCTTTCGTCAATTCCGGAGCTGAGCTGGTGGCGCGATGGACCTTTCGAATCGACCTCGTCGAGACGACGATTCATTCGTTCGAATTCGACAACCTCGTCTGGTCCAAACTCCGGCTATTTTACTCAATTAAGTCCATTTTTAATCGAATAATTTTACTTTTGGCCGAGTGAAACTTATCCAGCTGGAGATTGTTACATGATGAGGTTTCTTTGTGGGCAAAGGTTTTGAGGAGCAAGTATAAAGTGAAGGAGGTGAAAGATGCGGCTTGGTTCAGTACAAAGGGCAATTGGTCTTCTACATGGCAGAGTGTTTTACGTGGAATGAGAGATGTAGTGATTCCGGCGATGAATTGGGTGATTGGTAACAGGTGCACGACACACTTTTGGAAAGATAAATGGCTCTCAGGGCAATCGTTACTGGAGCTGACAGAGATCCCAGAGGCTCTTACTGAGTCACGGGTGTCTAATCTATGGCAGAGCAGGTCTGGTTGGTTGCTTACCCAGATTGAGTCATATGTCTCGGTGGACACAAGACTAACATTGGCAGCAGTGGTGGTGGATGAAGTCACGGGAGGCAGGGACAGAATGTCTTGGGGATTGACACAGGATGGCGAATTCTCAATCACCTCAGCGTATTCCTTTCTCACTCAGGATGCCAGACCGCGACAGTGTATGACTGGACTATTCACACGGGCTTGGCATGTGGCGGTCCCAGAGAGAGTCAGAGTCTTCCTATGGCTGGTGATTAACCAAGCTCTTATGACAAATGCGGAAAGATACAGACACCACCTTAGCGATACTAATCTGTGTCAAGTATGCAGAAGTGGAGAGGAAACTATCATACATATCTTAAGAGATTGCCCTGCAATGGAAGGTATATGAAGGCGCATAGTTCCTTTGAGGAAGAGGCACGAGTTTTTTGAGTCTCCGTTACTGAGTTGGATTTACAACAATCCGGGTTCCGAGCTTAATCTAGGAGAGTATAAATGGTCAACATGCTTTGCGATGCCAGGGGCTGGAAATGGAGATGTGGCAATGCATTCGGATCAAATGGGAAGTGTCGTGACCGTGTGAAGTTCATAAAGGACATTGCCAAAGAAGCTGCATCAGCTTATGCCTTGAAACCCGACAGCGGAGGTATGAGAAACAGAGTGGAACGACAGATAGCACGGAAGCCACCAATGCAAGGCTGGTCGAAGATCAATACTGACGGAGCGTCGTTGTAACATCCATAAACCAAAAATTGAGAATTTTGTCGGTTTAATTTAAGTTATCCGGTTTATACTGGTTTAAGGGAAAAACCCTAATTCGCTGGAATAAAAGAGAGCAGCCGCCTAATTTTACACAGTTTTCGAGTTCAGAGGCAGGAGAGGAGAAAAGTGGAGTTTCTGGAGCAGAATTTTGTTACTTTTCGTCGAAGTACTGTTCATCGGTACTGTTTATCGTCGCGATTCGGCACTGTTCATCGTCTTTCTTCTTTCATTCAGTTTTATTTCATTGTCAAGGTGAGTGCATGACTGTGGGTCCG